CGCTTAAAATCAGGTTAAAAAACTTGGACAACGACGGGAAGGTTGAGTCTCTTAATAAGACCAAGTACAACTACAAGGAGTAATAAATCTAGCCTAGTTACTGCTTTCTACTAAGTTACTTGGGAGTGAAGTTAGGTCTTTCATGTTTTCCAGATCACCGTTTTTGTCTTTAGTGAATTTCATTTTATTGGTCTATTTGAATATGCGCTGGATAATATATTACAAATTAACGTAAGAAGTAACGTAAGTGCATGCATGTATATTATCTGTAGTTGATATTAACGTACTTTACAGTTGATTTAAGAAAAATTAAAGTTTGTGCTTAATTGGAATAACACATTTCTTGAGTTTTTATTAAACACAATATTAAACTTTTTAATATAAATAAATGTGGACAATCCAGTTTGATTTATGTTTTGTAATGCTCTAATAAATTCTTGTAAAATTTTTATAATATGAGAAATTATTTTAAAAAAAAAACATATAACAAAAACATAACAAAAGTAAATAAAAGGTTGCTTCCTCATGATATATATAAAAAAAAAACACACACATAGCATAGCATTAAACGTAAAAAGCAACATTAACCCTAAAACCTAATTAAAACTGAAAAAAACAACTAAAAGAAAGAAGAAAAAAAACATAACTAAGATAACATTAAACATAAAAGAGCAACATTGGACCCTAAACAAAACTAAAAAGAAAAAGAAAAAACTAAACGACATGAGACAATGAGGATAGTAGAGGCGAGTTTTGTGGTGGTGGTTGCCGGAATTAAGGTGGTGGGGGTGTTGTGGTGGTGCGGCTTTTCACGATGTCGAGGAGAGCGAGCGCGTGCGGATCGTCGGAATTTGTCATCATCATGATGAAAATGGTACTCTTGAGCTGCATCAAGACTTGAGGATTTTGGAGGGACTCATCTTCTTTGAGGGCTTCGATCAATAGCCTCAGTTCTGGGTGGAGCTCCGCTGGAACCACACCGGATCTACATCGGTTGCCAACAACCATGATTATTGCGACTAACAAGAAGACGCCACCGGAGGATATGAAGATAAGGCTGTTTAATTCAAACATTGAAAAATACAATGCTGATAGAGAACCAAAGAGACAGATAATTGCTGCTTCGTCAAATATCCTCAGATCTTTAAATTTTGTTCTGAGCACAATATCTATGAGAGAGAATGAGGAGAAAGCGAGACCAGACCACCCAGCAATATTACGAGTAGTCTTATGATCCGTAGATCCAATGTACTTCGATGGATCCATGTTGAAATAGAGAAGGATTACAGAAAGCAGCTTGAACCCTAAATCTTTGGCCAAAGTGGAAGCCATTACATACTGGGTATTAGTGTGACTTCCCAGCCAAGTGGTAAAACCCACTTTCTTAAGAACAGTTGACATTGAAGGAAAGCAAAAGAAGAAAAATGAGAATTCTGTATGAATAATTGGAGTAAGAGAGATGGACTGAAACCTTTTTTTAGTTCATGGTTCAATCTGTGAACTAACGAAGAAGAAGATAAGTGTTCTTATATATACTACAACATGTATCTAGTTACGCGTGTAACATGCAACTTTCATTTTCTTGTTTTAATTATTTGACCGTTTTTCAAAAATAATATTTTTCTTTAAACTCTGAACTTGTGCCAGGCTTATACGGATACTACGTGCTTTTATTAATAATAAATATTTATGGAAACTAAATCAGACTACTTTCACACTGTTTTTTTCTTTTAAATATATACTTAACATCTTTAAAATAAATGTAGTATTAGTACAATTGTTAAAAGTATATAACGCCACTCCGATCACGGGAACAAAGATTTGGAACCTAGTTTTAAAAAAAATTATTGAACAACACATTACTCTTTTGTAACCTAACTTAGTTGGATCTTTCTAGGTCTCCCTGTGTGGCTGTATATACTCCCATCTCAAAAAATTTAGGATTCAGCTTCGGAGTTGACAAAAAGAAAAAAAAAAAAAAAAAAAAAGAGTAAAAATTACAGTTTATAATATGTTTCTTTTTTCTGTAGGAAAAATATTTTAGCATCGTTGAACACTTTCAATCGCAGGAAAAGAATGGAGCGTGTTTATTGGGCTTTGTTATAGTGGGCTTTGTTCGAATGGGCTTTGTTATAGTGGGCTTTGTTTGTTATTGAGCGTGTTTCTCGTTTCACTATATGATGAAATAGAAAACTGGTCGAGCTAATATTTGTTTTTAGAAAAATATATTTGTTTTTATTTGGATTGTACATGCAAATTTCATTGTTTCTTGTTTGATTCGACTATTTTTTTATATAAATAAAATTGTGTCAGGCAAACAGCGATATTACTTTGGTTTAAAATATAGATATCTATCTTAATATACGTATTTGTGGAAACAAAATCAGAGTACCTTTTAGCGATATTACTTTGGTTTAAAATATTGATATCTATTTTAGTATAGGTATTTGTGGAAACAAAATCAGAGTACTTTTTACCTTTTACTTTTGCTGTCAAATTGTTATATACGTATATATATAAATCAGAGTACTTTTACTTTTGCTGGTCACATTATTAGTATATATATACATCCATATATTTAGGCGGTAACACATTTTAATTTGTCCAGTTGGATTCGATCTAGTTTCAAAACTTTAACTTAGTTGTATCATTCTAGGTCTTTCTGTGTATACTCCAATTTCAAACAATTTAGCCTTTTACTATGGAGTTGACAAAAAGGAAAAACGTAAAACTTACGGTATATGTTTTTCTTTTTCCCTATAGGAAAAAAATTTCAGCATTGTTGAACACTTTCAATCGCAGGGAAAAGAATGGAGCGTGTTTATTGGGCTTTATTATAATGGGCTTTGTTTGAATGGGTTTTGTCAAATACAAATAATCTGACTTATTTTTTCTCGTTTCACTATACAGTATGATGAAATAGAAAACTGGTCAACCTAATATTTGTTTTATAAAAAATATATTTGTTTTTTTATTGTTTCCGCAGCTTACCAATCAAAGCCTGGGATTGTACGTGCAAATTTCATTGTTTCTTGTTTGATTCGACTGTTTTTTTTTCCTTCATATAAATAAAATTGTGTCAGGCATACAGCGATATTACTTTGGTTTAAAATCAGAGTACTTTTTACCTTTCACTTTTCTGTCAAATTGTTTATACACGTATATATGTAAATCAGAGTACTTTTACTTTTGCTGTCACATTGAATATATATACATCCATATATTTAGGTGGTAACAATGTTCCTGGAAACCAAACATTTTGTCCAGTTGGATTCGAACGAGTTTCAAAACTTTATTTTAACAACACATTTCTTTCTTTCTTTTTTCACCAACCCTAGTTTACGAATGTCATGGATGTTTACCAAACCCGGCCCAATTACAAGCCCATGTAATAATAAAGAATTGATAAGATCAGATCATATCATCTGTAAGTTAAAAGCCCATTGAACAACGGAAGCCAAATTATAAGCTATTGTCCGAGATATAATCGATCATTGAATTGATTTAAACTTCTAGTTAGTATCCAATCATGTTTCGTCGTTAAGTAATGTGATGAATGATAGTTGAATATCTTTTTAGTGTTTACTGCAACACAAACGACTTACATATATAGCGTCTCCATAGCAGTTGCATCATTGGAATGTATATGGTGCTTGCGAAATTTCTCAACAATCATTTCCTTGATAGACAAGAACGACGGTACAACAAACTTATTAGAAAGTGGCTTTTCGTTGACCTTATGTAGAACAACGGTACACCAACCAAGTTAAAGCTCGCATGCGTTTCTCAACTTGTATCTTCTTCCCCTGATTAGCAGCTGGTCCTCTTCTGTACATCACATTTTATTTTATTTACAGGTTAGTAGAAACACATGTGTTCTCTTTTATCATTGGTTGGGAGAGCATTTTTGACAGACATTGAAAAGTTAAAGATCGGCAGCAAGATGAGGCCATTGGAAAACTCCTCGAGAAAGGTCTTTTCTATGGTCATTGTCATTGCAGAAAAACAGAGTATCTATGTTTTTCCTACATATGATTGTTATCACAGTCGCACACATTTATCATTTGCAGAATCAGATACATTTCGTATATTGTTATGGTCTTATGGAAGAGACTAGAACAGAGCATTTATGATTTTTTCTCTTATACTAGTTTCATTATTAAATATCACATTAACTCTACTGTGAAAAGAAGTGAGATCACCGTATTTACTAATAAGATACAGTGCTCTATTCGCAGAGCTAAGCGACCGGATCGTGGCAGTGGACATGAACCGTAAGCGAGGGGTATTCGTCGGAACGAAAGTGAGAGGTGTGAAATTATTGGTGGGACACCTAGCTACGAGGCCACTTTTTTGGATCGTTTGCCTGAAGAAGACGGTAAATGGAAGCGGTAAGACCCGGATCGGAGTGGCTATTTATTACGTGTTCAGAAGGTGATTGTTGGAGTTTTTGGACTTACAAGGATAAGTATCTGTTGATAGGATTCAACGAGGTTGAGTCTATTAATTAGACCAAGTCCAAGGAGTTAAAAATCCACCTCGTACGTTACTGCTATATTACTTGGGAAAGAACTTAGGTCTATCTGGTTTTTTAGATCACCCTTTTTTGTCTTTTGTTTGATTGGACTGTTTGGAGGAAGATGTAGTTTGAATATGCTTAGAATACTGTATTATTCGTCGTTTTACTTTATGGATAATTAAGAAGAATGATCTAAAATATTCTCTCCCACAATTATATTGCACTAATATTACATGATATTAGAACGTTTGTGCTCATCACTTGGAATAGTAACACATTTCTTAATTGAGTTTTTATTATACACAATACTAAACTTTTTTAATGAAAATAAATGGGGATAATTAAGTTTGATTTAAGAAACATCCAATATCGTGTGGAACATTAGGAACAAAAATCAAACTAAAAAAAATATAGGAAAGAGAAAAAAAAACAGGAAATAAAAAGAAACCAAAGAAAGAGTAAAACGCAAAAAGGGTAGACTTCTAGTTAATGTGTTATAGAGTAACATAAAAAGGGTATAAACCATAACAAAGAAGGTATACCGATAATGAGAGCAACGGCGAGAGAAATAGAATAGAGGAAGAGAATTAGTAAAATAACGCCACAGATATGAGCAACACCCATGACGCCGCCTTCGAAAGGACGTTCGGGGATCTTCTTGAACATGTATACCCATGTAGCCACACCAACAATGTTTGCTAGACAGTAGAGAGCCACCAAAAACTCGATCATATGGTCTATACTTGAAACTAGGGGAATCTTATAATGTCTTATATACAAAAAGGTTGCAACATTGAAGCCTATCAAGAGCACGTTCATGACAAGGTCGTATATTACGTATTTGTTTTGCCTGCATATCCCATCCACCACCAATCACAGTTTATATAGCCATATTATCGATTGTTACATGAGTATTATTTAATTTATAATTAAAACAAAATCAGAGTAAAGAAAACTCGTTGATGGGACTCACCACCATGGACGCCGCCGGCTCGGAGATTCATCGACGGTAGCAGGATCCATGGTTTCGTTTCTTGGTGCATTAATTTATGTAAATGCCTCGACATATATATGAACCCCTTTGGTTATATACATTGATTCACGGCGGTATCTTAAGGTTTTGATAAGGTCATATATAAACGAACTAACGAAGTATCTTCTCTTTTTTTTTGGTTGGTAAAAGAAGTATCTTCAAAACGATTCTTATCTTCTTCAGCTATATATATCCCCTATATTATTTAAAGTTTTTGTTTTTTTTTCGGCTAAAGTTTTTGTTTATCATCCACGATTAATATTTCATTTAACAAATCACATCATACAAATATTTTAATTTGTTATCATTTTTGGGTAAACAATTTAATGATAATAATGTAAGGAATATTTCCTTTCTCTATTATATGGTCTTAGTTTGATCAGGGAAACCATAGAAAATGAATCTGCTAATGAAGGTTACAGATTCGGTCAAGAAGAATAAACTTACAACATTGTAGCTGCTCATGGTTATTTTGGCCGATTGATCTTCCGTTTCAACAATTCTCGTTCTTTACATTTCTTCTTAGCGGCTTGGCCGGTAGTAGGTATTTGGTTTACTGCTTTAGGTATTAGCACTATGGCTTTCAACCTAAATGGTTTCAATTTCAACCAATCAGTAGTTGATAGTCAAGGGCGTGTTATTAATACTTGGGCTGATATTATTAACCGTACTAACTTTGGTATGGAAGTTATGCATGAACGTAATGCTCACAACTTCCCTCTAGACCTAGCTGCTGTTGAGGCTCCATCTAAGAGGGAACACTGTAACAACAACCAGATCGGGTCTATTCCCATTCCTTCACCGAAGTGGTTGACGAGCTCAAAAGTTCCTTTTTTATTACTTTTCGTGGCTGATTAGATCACTGAAAGCTATCCGTTTTCTATTGGAATATTGCTATTACTTAATATATCTGGAATCCAATTAAATTGGTAATTAAAGAGTTTTTCCTAATCTATCTCTACTTTGATGGACGGTTGAGATTAAATCTTAAAGAAACCCTAAAGAGGAATTAGGTCCTCTCTCCACTTATATATATATGCCTTTAGACCATCATAAAGGTATCCTTAACAGAAACACAACACATAATAGTATTGTTCATAGGCAAGGGGGAGAGAAACCTAATTCTCCTAAACTGAAAGTTCAGGACTTCAGGAAACCGTTCATCAAGACAATCTCGGCTACAATGGTTGGAGGTACTCCGCTAACCCTCCATCATAGTTCTGTCATGTAATTAATCATATTGCATAAACGATCTAGGGTTCATCATGTTAAAATTATGCTCACAAATAATGGTTTTATACATAATTCTTCAATGTCGTTAAAATCATACGCAAATCTTCAATTTGATGACTTTATTTCATCGGTTATTGATTTTAATCTATACTATTAATCGAGGATCGAGGGCAGTAGCCATATAAGCCGTTTTCAGTATTTACAAAAAATGTCATCGATTGTGTTCTTTGGAAAATCCGAATTAAGGGTAAATTTGGAAGAAAAGAGTGGACAAGCTCTTTTCGAACCGACCCGAAATAAAAACACACGGCATGTAGTAGTAATCTTAAAGTGATATTGCATCCTCATGAGCGTAGTAGTAATGGCTCCAGCAATGGGGGTGATCACCACAAGGATAACTTACATCCATGCGAGAGTAATGGCTCACAAAATAAAACCGATCATCAGGAGAGCGAGAAGAATGGTGTTAGTACCACTTGTGAACCATTCTTTTTTTGCATTACGTATGCTTGACTCATGAACAATGTTGACCATTTTATTTCCGTTTTGAATATCATTTTTTTCTTTTTTTTGTGTTTACGTTGTTTTATTTTTTTATTTTATTTTTTTTTGATAAACCCTATCGGCTATCCGGTCGGCCTTGGTAGGAACACACCGAGGTGCTACATAGTGGACTGGTCCACCGTGTTAACGGTTAAACCCTTACGGGCTACCACTCTGCCTATCCCGAGTTTGGAATGCCTTCCGACTAAGTGACAGAGGGTAGTCAGGCCGCCTGCATTTCTGGCTACCAGGTAAACCAATTGGGCCAAGGCCCAACTGACAGACTTCCCAAACAAATGTGTTTTTGTTTCCAGAGAGAATCGAACTCAGGTTTTGGGAGTTTCAACCTTTTCCCAAAGCTTCCTCTGCCACTAGACCACGGATGTTTGGGCATACGTTGTTTTATTTAAATTTCACATAAAGCAAATAGTAATTATCATATTATATGTCGAATATGTGTTCATTTTCATGTTTTCAAGGGTTAACTAATGACTGCAAGTGACAATTTTTCTAATGTTTAGAATGGAGTATTAAAAATATGAGATTGACAAGATACTAGCAAGTGAAATTTCAGCTTATGGTTATCCAATTTTTCATATCTCTTTATGTGAAAGTTGCATGTGTTGTGTTATAGCTGCATCATTTAAGAATTCATTACTCTTTGATAAGACATGAAAAAATGCTATAGATTCGTGGCATGGGGCAAGTTTCAAAGAAAAACATCTCTTTCTTGGGCGCCAGCTAGAGTTTCATATTTCTTAGACTGATTGGATTGTTTCAAAAAAAAAAAAAGAAAAAAAAAAGACTGATTGGTTTAAAATCAAATAATTGACCCGGAAGTTGCAATCACGATTAGTTTTGATCATATCCGTTTCTTTAGGTTTGACCCATTTTTAATTTCCTAATATATAAAACAATAATATTAATGAAAGAAGATAATGACAAAATCAATAACAAATCATTATTAATATTATGAAACCGAAATCTTAAAACAAACTTAAAAGCATATTACTTAAACATTCTGTATTAATTTTTAAAAATATTCTATTTACCTATATTTTTGGAAAATTATTAAGAAAATAATAACTAAATATCAATAATATTCAAAATTCAAGATCTTACAAACAAATTTATACAATGGCATTTGGCTTGAACTTGTTCGGTAAATTTTGAAGATGAAATGTTTTTTACATAGTAACATTAAGATACACAACACTACTTCAAGTGTTGGTTTGGTTTGATCTTGTTGGTTTCCATAGGCATGTGTGGACCAGTTTGGTCTAAAGCTCTAGAGATTTTAAGGGACTAGAAATGAAAGGCTGATGGAATGTTTCAGTAGTTTCGATCCGTGCGTTGTTGATGAGGCAATCTTGTTGATTTCATGAGATGCCAGTCATTTAAATCTCTTGTCTAAAACAATGGTTTTGTGGCTTGAGGAGGTATCAGAGAGTTGTTAATGTATATGACAGTTTCATTCATAACCCTTTTAGTAGTGCGTAATGCCGTACTCTATATACGGATATACCGAAGGAGCATACACCATGGTTTTGGCAATTTGTGAAATTCATGTGGCATGTAAATATGTTAATAGAGTTGCATAGTGCCAATGCTAGCATATGTGGCTAATACTGCAGCTATACACATTGCCAACAACAGTCCACTGTTTCATAAAAGCACCAAAGTTTTTCAGAGAAAGAATCCAAACTACAGAGATGTGTCAACAAAACCATTATTTCCTAATCATGGTCGAAGTCTCATTGGATATTAAAGGAATACAGATATCTCAGTTTGAATTAACGAGTTGGTTAGTCTGTTAACCCATTAGTTGATGATTTGGTTAATCTCTTAACCAATTGTTCTATGCATCTTACATAGACTCTCAGGATATAGATATAAAAGAGAGTAGAGACTATGCAATACAATGTTAGGAACTGAAAATTTCCACACTTCATCTTCTGTCTAGTTTCTCAGTCAAGGCTAATATGGTCGTATTGTGATTAGATAGCTAGGATTAGCATTACAATAAAGCACTTAATTCACTTTTTTTAAAGCAGTTGGTTCACTACCAAAACAGAAACAAGAAGTCAAAAAAACACTGCAATCAATTTATCACCTTAAGTTCAAAGCTATCTTTTTCTTCTTCTTCTTATTCTTGCTATCTTTGTTCAATAACACAGAGATCTTAGCAAATCCGAAACTCTTTCTCTTTCGAGTCGTCGACCTTTTCCCTTCACTCCTCTTGCTTACAGGTTTATCACTATTGCTATTCTTTGCCAGCATCTGACCCAACGACATTTTCCTTCTCTCGCTAGCAACATTCATATCTGAATCCTCTGCAAGAAGTAGCTTCTTGCTGAGTATTTGCCCTATTGACATTGTTGGCTTCAAGACAGGGACTGAAGAAGATGATGATGACCCGCCAACAACTTCATATGTCAGATTCAAACCATTTACATCTATCAAACGCGTTGTGTTGAAGGTTGAGTCTCCGATTGAACCTGCAATTGAGAAAGAGAAGATGATTAAGAATCAAAAGAATTACAGTGAGGAGAAGAAGAAGAAACTTGGTTGAAGAAGAAGAAGAATCCTCTTTTTTTTTTTTTTTTTAAAAAAGACACAGATAAAAAGAGAAAAAACTCTCTCTCTAAAAAACTCTCTCTCTAAAAGCTCTCGCTTTTCTTCTTCTCCCCCCGACGTCGGCCTCACGCCGATGGTCGGAAATTTCTCCATGGGTTCTAAGAAAAAGAAGAAGAAGCCTTTGAGGGGAGTGGTTCCAGGATCCTCCAAATTTGCTCGGATCTCAGCTCGTGCTCTCTCCGGTTCTAGCAAAGAACCTCCTTTTGTTGGCCTCTCCAATGCTCTCTCGCTGCTCCCTAGTTCGTCGGAGGTTGTTGTTGCCTCCTCTCCTTCAACCCAAGTGAGTCCCGATCCAAATCTGGGTTTGGATTCTGCCTCGGTTTCTGTGCCCGATTCAGATCTACAATCTGAAACAGTGAATCCTTCAGCCATCACCGTCGTAGGTCCATCCTCCAGTGTGGCGTTTGCTGCTGTTCCTTTGAGTTCTGCTAACCAAGCCGTTGTTGGTTGTTCGCTCCCCATCATTGAAGGTTCATCCTCTGATGTGGTGCTCTCAAACGTCTCTGCTCCGATCTCTGGCTCCCTACCCGACACCGTCGCAGGTACATCCTCCGGTGACACCGTCGCAGGTACATCCTCCGGTGACACCGTCTCTCCCACCACACGCACGTACTCG